GCTCGTGCTAGGCGCCTGTATGGTCACTCCACCATAGGACGGGATAGCTGCCATTGGCATTCCCGCCGGAGCTGGCGCCGGTAGCGCCACTCTGGGAGCCATCGAGCCTTGATACTCGAGCATCGGTGTACTAGCCGGTCGAGTCTGACCGACGAAGGCGTTCCCTGAGGACGCCGGCACTGGGTGCGACACAGACCTCGCCCTTGCCTGTCGTGGCGTTCTCGTCGGCGTTCCAGCCGAGGTTGATAGCTCTGGAGTGCCCGACTAAACGTGTCGACCAACATCTCTTGTAACGCAGAGTCTGACGTCGGCGTTCTGGCCCTCCTTGTCGGCGTCTCCGTCGCCTGCGCAGGCGTTCCTCCCTGCCTCCTGGACGTGCCACCCTCCGAATACAGTGTTCTCGCCACATCATGGCGTTCTGCCACCCGCGGAGGAGTGTGCCTCGTCGTTCCTCTCGCATTTAACGCTGCACCGGCTGACGTTACCGTCGGTACCTCGCCTTGCGTCTCGCCCACAAGAGGTAGCGACGGCCTCGACGCATCCAAGTAGAACGCGTCTCTCTGTCGAGCTCTCGGGGTCGACGTTACGGCTTCCGCCGTCTCACCCGTCGTCGTCTTCGCCGGAGCCGGTTCTTCGCTCGGCGCTGGTTGGCGTGCCAGCCGCGCGAGGAACTGGTTAAACATCTCTCGGCCCCGGGGCGTGTCTAGCACCGACTCAGCCATCCTTCTTGCTCTTGGAGACAGAGGTTCAGACCTGAGCGTCCATCCGTCCATTCGAGCCTCGCGACCTTCGACCCTGGGTTCGGTTCTCCTCGGCGTTCCTCGTTCCGAACCCTCAATCGAACCGCCCCCAGTCGGAGTCCTTCCGCCCACGTCACCCTCGACGGACCTTCCTGCGTGCTCTCCGTCTTCGTCTTCACGGATCTCAGCAGGAGGTGGCTTCTCTGTCTCAAGCGGGGGAGCCCACCCACTGAGCCCCTCCTCCGCTTCCTCTCCTAGTCCCTCTCCGGACCACCCATGAGAGCTCATGTCTCGCTCTCGCTACCCTTTTCCTTC